TATTGAATAGCCTAAGCGACACGACTGTCCACTTTGGATCACTAGCGCACAGGTCTTGGAGTATATTTTCGCACATATAAACACTTCTGGCATAAGGACTGGTCAGGGAATGGCCGATTGGGTGGCACTCATCGATGGGTAAGTACTTAGGTTTGCCATAAACAGCACCGGAAGAGGCGTGCACCAGATGGTAGACCTCGTACTTCTTCATAGTGTCCACCAGATTGACCGTTGATTTGACATTATTGTGGTAATAGTCTAGAGGATTGGCAATGGATTCGGGAATCGACTTCAAGGCAGCCAAATGTATGACTACATCAAAGCGTCGGTACTTTTCAAACACATTATCAATGACTTGTTCTTTGCGGAGATCACCGAAAATGAAGTCATGGATTGACTTCTGGGTCAACACTTCCACTCGACGCAGACTTTCGGGAAGTTTTTGTCCGTTAATTATCGTAGAGTTGGAACAGTTGTCGACAGCGACCACTCTGTAGTCCTGTGCCAATAGGTTGGCCACACAGTGGCAACCTATATAACCGGCCGCACCGGTAACCAACACCAGCCCAGGCATTGAGATCACAATTTAAATGCTAAATAAATAGTTTTGTTTAACTTTTTTGTTTGTTTGACAAATGTTTTTACTGTAGAGTTCAGTCGTTTATACAAACATTTTAAAATGAATTATAAAAAGTTACACAAAATATATTGCATTGAATATTCTGTGGAAATGTATTATAAATTTAACAATGAGTGACTTTTTACTCTATTATGATAGATAGATTTCAAATGAAATTTTTTGCTACATAGCTTTTAATGGGAAAAACTCTTATTTTAGTAATTTTATTGACATTTCAGTAGTGATGACAAAAAAGACTGATTTGTTTTTTAGAAATTGCTTTAAACGCTTAACATTAGGAGTAATACAATAGGGGAAATAGTTTTGATAAAATCATACACACGTTTAGTGCATAGCATATAGTATTTGGAAAGGGATATCCGATATCCGTCCAAAATGTATTGTTTTTCACTCATAAGTCTCTCTCTCTCTCTCTCTCTCCCCTTATGGGTATAAATACTCAAAGCAATGACTTTATAAATTGGTTTTCAAAAAATTAGTTTTGTTACTTTTATAAATCTCTTAAGTTTATACGATAGGGCATCATTGTGGAAAGTATAGATAGTCGATATCGATACCTTTAGCAAGTAGTATATGATTGAAAAGCACAGGTTTCGATTAATATCNGTTTTCAAAAAATTAGTTTTGTTACTTTTATAAATCTCTTAAGTTTATACGATAGGGCATCATTGTGGAAAGTATAGATAGTCGATATCGATACCTTTAGCAAGTAGTATATGATTGAAAAGCACAGGTTTCGATTAATATCGACTATCCCAATGAGCGCCTATCGTATAAACTTAAGAGAAATTATAAACAAGCATTAAGGATTGAAAATAATATTATTTTAAATTTGCATATACCGGTAATATACTTTACTTTTTAATATGTTCATGTGTGCTACAATACTGAGCATATAAATAAAGTCACATATTTTATATTTTAAATGATTTATCTTAGTAAATTATTCTATAAAAATTATAAATAAAATAATTAGTCTTGAAATATTAATAGAAATATATCATTAACTACAAAAATTCTGAAAACACGTATATTTATAAACACCAAACATACAGTATAATGCTAAGTTAATAATATTAATATCAACATATAATTAATACAGATAATTATCAAATATTCAATTACGCTGTAAATGTACTAGATGTTTATATCATAATTATGGTACTTTCATTTATAAAGTTATATTTTTAATAACAAAATAAATAGCTATACAATGAACTACAGTATATACAAGTAAAATTTATGAATTAAAGTTACCAATTGATAATTTTAATTATGCATAATAAAATATAAATTTTCACTAATTATTAGACTATAATGTGTTTTATTTGTACAATTTATCTACAAAGCAATAAATGTAATACAATTCAAGAGTTGTTATTAAAATTGAATGAATGATAGAAAGTAAGATTATTTCTATTAAAACAAACATCAGGTACTCACATAATGTACACAATAGTCAGTCTATTATTATCAGTACAAATGAAGTTGAATGTTAAGATTATTTCAATTAGCAATTAAGTATATTATTACATGACTTACTTATAATTATAAGAAATATATTTTTTAAATGCAATATTTAATTGCAATTTGATTACACTTTTATTGATAAGTACAATGATACATTTATCGTATATAAACCAAAATTACTTTAATCACGATTTAAATTCTTTATTTTCATTTATGTAGCAATAATATCACAGAATAATTATTACTGTGTACAAACAAATTGTTTTATATGAGCAGGATAAATCTAAGTAAATTATAAAATGATAATAAAATCTGCTGGCTCTCACTTTTATAGTTACGGATTATCATTGTTTAAATTTAACCCAAAATCGCAAAGAAGTAAATTACATCATCCATTGCTAATATTTGTGGTCAATGTTTGCTATACTATTAGATGTTTGTTATCACTATTCATAGATCAAGACTTAGATAATGATTTAATTTATCTACTACTCGGAGATTACGCCCACTATTTGGGCCGTGAAATCAAGTATCACTTGGAGTGCAATGTCATTATATTTGGGTCGATAGCCATTGTCTCACAAATTATTCATTATTTCTATTATAAATTCAATATAAAGCCATCATATTTGAGACCATTTGAGGTGTTGTCCGGAATCGTATCACCAGAATGTATAGGACTTACCGATAGTACAGATATTAACCGATTCTATACTAGAAGTCAATTCTGTCTGAAATACAGTGGAATTCTGGCCAAGACTGGCATCCCATCAGCGGTCATACTATCGATAATTCCGTTGACATTACATTCAAATGGCATTCAATTTGTATTAATAGTGATTCCGTGGGTCTCTATTTATGCCCTGTTTTGCTATTTTTGCGCTAATTTTCTAGTCTATCAAATCATCTACTTTTATATGATATGCTTTTATTTGAATCTCAAACTCAACGCTTTAATGACAAGAATTAACAAAGAATTTCTGATATATAAGACAATTAACGCTAAAAATATTCCGCAAATATTGAGGGAATTGAATGCAATTCATAGAGAAATACATGAATACAATGATAATTATTGGTCACTATATTTGTTATGTATACTAAGCGGCATAATGTCCGGGGTTAATCTACTGCTATTTAGCGCACTATTTGGTCATTTAAAACTGATTCATAAAATATTTTTCTATTATTGGGTTTTATTGTATGTATTATTCTTGATATTTATACTAAACATGAGTTCAGCCATCAATTCCGAGTCAAACAAATTCTATGGACTATTGAATAAATTATATTTTCACAGCATTTCTAATGCCAAACTGATAATTAATTGTAAAATTAAGGTTATTTGTAATATGAATGTGTTTTTAGTTATGAATTAATTTATAATTTTATGCTTATTTTGTGATTAGTTATTGAATTTGATTGGAAAGTGTGGCGACAAAAGTGTGGGCTTTTACTGTTGGAAACTATTTATAATCAATAAATACCGGTCCCATGAGGTATGTATGCCATTAAGAATTGAATTAAAAAATAGTTAAATTAATGTTCATATTTGTTTCACCCATTTGTGAAGCTACTGGTGCTGACGATGGCATTCTTCCTAAAAATCGTAGACATATCTCGTGAATGAAAAACTTTGTACTGAAAACCGATAGCAATGTATAGTTTTCTCGCTGTAATAACAATGAGAACTGAATTTCAATTTACTAGTATTGATTGCATTCACTGTATGTAACAATAGTTGATAATAGCGTGAACTCAGATTTAATTTAAATAAAAAATCTCAAACAAAATAATTTGTCAGTTATTTATTCGCATAAATTCAAAACCATTTCACTACTAATAACAACTAATAACTAATAATAAACTTATAATTCACGCGATAATCCAAATCCAAACTACATTTCAAATACAATCTGACAGTTGATCACAAAACACCAAAATTCTTGTAAAACCAATAGATCTATACATTTAGAGACAATATCAGACATCAGGTATCACACGGACAGCGATGTCATCGAAGATCAAAGCGATCGCCGATCCGGAGGGCGTCGAGAAGAAGACCGACATTCCGGCAAAACTCAGACTCAGAAACCTTGAGACCAAGGAGAAGACCAACAAAGAGGTCCGCGCCGTTAAGCCCAAGGAGTCGGACGCGAAGGCCTTCAACGACTTCAAGAAGAAGAAACCGGATCTCAAGCAAATCCCAGCGGAAGTGAATGTCCCCGAGTTGGTCGGCAACTCCGAGGGATGGGTGGGTCCGATGGTCTACGAAAACAATCCGGGCGTCTATCACATCAAAATCAAGCGCAGGGAACCGGAAAAAGAGGTGCAATACCTGTGCGGACCTCTCCTACAGCGGGTCCCAAAGAAGGGGTTCGCGACGGTCGGCGGCGGTATCTCGACGGTCATCGCAAAGTCGCCGCTCATCGACGGCCAGACCTACAAGTTTGAAAAGGACAGACAGCTTATGACTAGACTATACGGTGACAACTATATGGTGATAGTGGGCGCCAACGGGTGTGTTGTGGTCGAGAAGGGCGCCTCCGTTGTCTTCAATATGCCGGTCTATGTCATCGGAGGAATCGGTGAATACTATTACGTAAATCACGGCCAACGCGTCCTCGCCATCGGCAACGAAGTAGTGGTTCTGTACTGTAAAGAAGCGGTCGTTTTGTTTGAATTCAATTCGTCGAGACATAAAACAGAAGTGATTGATCCCAAAGTTGGCTACGAAGTGGTCGCCAAATCCGACTCAAAGATCAGTCCGTCGAAGAGCGACACGAAAGCCAAGTCGAAGACAGGCTCGAAGACGGGCGCAAAGGACTCGAAGACCGGTTCCGGCGACTCAAAGACGGGCTCAAAGGAAGTGAAGATCGGTTCCGGCGATGCGAAGGGCTCGAAGACCGGCGCAAAGGACTCAAAGACCGATTCCAGTGATCTGAAGACAGACTCAAAGGACAAACTCAAGACTGATTCGAAAGAAAAGCCAAAACCGAAGTCCAAAGCAGAACCGGAGGACGATTTGACGACACCATCGCATAAAGAAACGGATGAACCCAAAGACGAGTTCAAAGAGGATCACAAACCAAAGTCTCCTTCGAAAGGGCCCTCCGATACGCCCGCAGAACCAGTGGGACAGCCAGCGGGTGGCGCCGATGAGCCGGCCGGTGCGGGACAGGGAGATGGCCGTCGCACCCGTTTGTATGTTGCGATTGCGGCGGTTGTGGTGGTGATCAGTGTCGGCGCCCTTTATTTCATTCAATGAGTCGCAAACTTATAGCTCTAAAACTGATTAAAAAATTAAATTCTTGTCAAACCTTTCAATTTCAATGAATTTTAAGACAAAAAATACTAAAATAAAAAAGTTTTGTTAATTCAATGAATGTATGAATTGCTTGTATTTATTATAGTTTATACAGAAATCGCTATAAATTAGTTATAAAAAATAAAATCTTAATATCATAATCAAGTCAATTAAAAATATAACAATCAATGAACTGATTTTCTAAACAAATATTAGGCACTGATAGCCATTCCGTACGGCTGTTTCGGATCAAAGTGCGAATACCTTAAGAGGTGTTGTCTTAATAAGTCATTCTTGGAGTTATGCACCGATCGTATGAGTCGATCGAAAATAGGCTTATCTTTAGGACTAAACTCTGGTTTCCCGCGAAACAGCCGATGATTCAAGTGATGGACAGCTATTAAGTACATAATCGGACTCTCTTTGGGCTGAAGGGCACCGCAAAGAAGTGCTTTGAGATACGCTTCCAGTGTTTGACAATCGCTTTCAATTGGCATCAAGAAGTCGTTCATTGGTATCGAAATCTAATCATCAAATAAAATACAATTAAATGAATGTCAAAATAAGTGCAAAAAAATCTCAAACCTCTTCGAATGGTAACCGAATTATACGAAAAGTGGTCACAAATTCAGTAAACATTTTGGTCTTAAAAAGTGGACTGCATTTCATCTGCAAGAAGACCAACAGATAATTGATGAACAGTTTGTTGCCATAGGAGACGGACTCAAACTGGTCCACAAATCGGGCAAAACTGCAAAAAACAATTCAATTCAACAGACAATTAAACAAATGATAATCTAAGCGACAGATAAATACATACAAATCACCGCATGTCTCGAAATAAGGCACTCTATCACTGATTTGACACCGAATTCCACTCCTGAGTAGAGTCTTAAGCAT